AAAATCGCTTCTGTTTTCATTTCAGTATTGCTGATTCTGAAGTGCAGTAGTATGACAAGTGATGGATCAAAAGTGATGGGATCACTTTTGATCCATTTTTTTTTTTTAATGACCTATTCCTATTTCTATTCAAGATCTCTGAAAATGCAGTTTTTTTTTTTTTGTTTAGGTTTGTTTCGAGGGTGATCCAGAAGCAGCACTTATTACTTATGCAAATCGATATGAAGCAGTTGCAGCATATAAAAGTACAGTGCCAATACTCAACAATCGTTTCATTAAAGTATTTTGGCACAGTACGAATGGACAAGCAAATAATACTGTAAATGCAAATCAGGTTATATTCTTACATATAAGCAATAAATTGGGAATGATCACTACGCTGAGCAAAAATTCATGTTTTATATTGGAATTGAATTGAAGAAATGAAAAAAAAAAAAACTTTGTAGACAGCGCCAACGAACAGTTCATCGGTAACATTTAATGCCAGAGGCTCACTTACAAAGACAGTCCATGTTGGTTCACGGTTGCTTGGTTCTGCTGTTAAGAATCCACAAACAATACATTCAGCGAATTCGCAGAGTACTGAATCTCAGATTTCCCGTTCTGCAATAAACCAGTCTCTAATAGACAGAGACAAATATATCGAAGTATCTTTTTAAAATTCTCTTGAAATATGTGACATAATTTACTTTTCATTGGTCAGAAACATTACAAGTTTTCTCTTACATCAACTGAAACTCTGTAGTAATATCAACAAAAAAAGCGATGCGTAATGTCCAGAAATCTCTTATGTAAAGGCTTGATGTTTATCTCAAACCAGATTTGAACTATTTTCGGTATAGCCAACTCACTAGTTTCTTTCAGTGCTTTTAGGACTGTGAGTGTTATTAGTGCTGTGCAAGTTAGTAATTCTGGTGATGCAGTTATCTTTGTTTTGCAGGTAAGACGACGACGAAAGCAAGAAAAAGAAAACAAAATGAGATTAATTGATCTTCAGCGGAGAAAGTCTGATCTTATGTCCAAAGAAATTGAACAGCAGAAAATCATATTAGAAAAAATGAGGGCTGAAGATATTACTCCTGAAAAGAAAAAGAAGTTATACAAGGTTTGTCATAGTAATTACTATGTAGCGGAATTAGTTTTTTGGATTTTTCTTGTAGGTCTGACTGTAATTTAGAGTAAAAGCTTGTATATGAAGAAGTAACCTTAATATATATTATTACTTATGCAACTTTGTTTAGTTATTATGTTACATTATATATTCATGGCGAATTTCCAGACAACACAACTTTTTTCATTTCATTTCGAAGTAAGAAACTGGAATAGTTAATAATTGAAACTTATACAACTCTCTTTACTCAAAAGATTGGTAATACGCACAAAAAGAACATATACTTCGATTATAAACTCTTTAGTTTTCAGAAGTTGTCCATTTTTTAGATTTTCAAAAGATTGGAGTTGTCTGTGGCTAAAACAAAGGGCGAAATCGCTGAGCTTAATGAGATGTTGGTAAAAACGAAATCTGGTTCTGAAGCAACGAAAGCGACAGATAATGCAAACGGTTGCAGTGGTGGTGTGGAGTCGGGTATTGGCTTGGATCTTGCTGGCTCCGATGGTTTGTTCTTCACAATATAGAAATAATTACGTATATCGTTTCAAATGAAACAATTTTTTTAATTAGGATGGTGTATTTAATGTAACTGCAGTTACTATATTCAGCAGGTGAATTATCAGTCAGCGACATGGTTACTTCTCCTAAAAAAATTCGTCTACAAGATTCTTCGCAGGTTTGCAGTTTGAGACACAATCTTTTAAGTGTTTTAATATCAGTAATTTTTGCAACCTCTAATAATTTTGTCTAAATGATTGTCTAGTAATTTTGTGTAAATGTATTTAGATGTACTTTACATTTTGTATGTCGTAATTCAAGATATCTCTGGTTGTTTTAAAAAGTCATTTTTCATGATTTCTGTTTCTCTATCCAATGAAGAAGTAGAGCGATTTAAAGAATCTGTTTTACAGAAATTCAATTGAGACAAATTAGTAGTAGCTAATGTAAGCAAGAAATTTTTTCTTGCTCTATCATTTACTTTTAAATGTATTTTTCTTGCTCCTTATGTTTTTTGCAGACTCTTGATAACCGCTCAAAAATGGTTGTGGTACGTGGTTTTGAAGCTGGAACAGAAAATGAACTTATTATTCATATGGAACATTTTGGAGAATTGATTGACATGGATTTTGGAGTTCCTGCGCAAGATAAATTGCTTACTGCTTATTTCACCTACAAAAAAAGGCGTGATGCGGAACAGGTTTTTAATGAAAATTTGTCTTTTTCCCTAGAAGCACGTATTATTTGTTCATTCTTGAAATGAATAATACTCATTATTTTTGTTTTAAGGCAGTATCACTAGGAGCAGACTATCCTGTTGGACACTTAATAGTTGATTGGGTCCCAAAGCGTGGAGCTGAGGCGAGCGGTGTTATCCCTGATGAGAAACGACAACCGTCTGAACGTGTAACTCCTGCTGCTTTGTTGGCGAGTTGTCCACTTGATGAAGTTTGTCATGTTTAACCTTTTTTTTTGCTATTGTTATGCACACCATGACTCACTATTGTTTAATCTGACCTATCTATTTCTGAACACAGAATACGCTCAAACCAGAGCTGTTTGCATATTGCTGTAGTGACTTTTGTCTTTCAAGATAAGGCCCATTGAGCTTAATCCTAAATAGCCTTTGGGGCTGTGATATTTTAACATGTTGAAATCTTCTTGCCCTTACTTTGCTTTCGTGACTATCTCTTATTTTTCATGTTAAGATGCAGTTATATTGTACAGTTTATTTAATTTTAATAATAAGCTTTTTTAGTCGGACGATGACGGCAATGAAGATTAAGCTGAAAATATTTGTCGGTGAAAATTAACTGGAAAGTGTGTTTCACTTTCAAGCAGGATTTTTCGGATCAGTGAAAAATGCTTGAGCAGGTTACATTTGGTGTAAAATGAATTCCAGATCAGATTTTCATGCTATGTTTCTACGCTAAAAAATATTCTTGTTTTTCTCTCAGCATTTGGTGATTCGCCTATATTAATAATCATACTATTTATAAGCCTGCAATAGTAGCATTTTTTTCACAACTGTATTACCTGGTTCTCAAAACAGTTCCTCCTAAAGTCTGTGTTATTTGTGGTTATTTTTTCTTCGTATTTCTGTTGTGATTATTTGATAATATTTCTTTTTGGTGAAAAGAGAAAGAATTCTAATATCGGCTCAGAAAAGAAAATAAATTCTATTGAAAATTAAAAAATTGAACACAATACAAAAAAAAGAAAAAAAAAATGAAAATGATATCGGGCCGTGAAAAAGAAAGAAAGAAGAAAAAACTGTGATGCTAGGTGGAACCGAATTATGTTGGTTTCTTTTTATTAAAGAATTTCTGGATGTTGTGTCTGTCAAAGTTTTGTTATTGTTTTTGTCTAATCGACACATGCAATGCGGTATGGTCTGTTGGTTACTCAATTTCTGTTGGTTGCGGTTACTCAAACATCAATTTTTTGGATTAAACATGTGATGCGGGTATGTTCTTTTTTGTCCACTCATTTTTGTTTCGACTTCGACACCAGTTCACTAATTTTATTCCATTTCTCCTCATCTACATATCCCTTCTATTTGTTATCTGTTAGTATGCAGCGGCTTTCCACATTATTTACTAGGAGGTTAACATATCAGTTGTTCAGAACACTAAGTGTACAGTACAACAAATGGAGCAGAACGGTGCAAGATCATGTCAAGGAGATTTTTTACAAAAATATGAAGGTATTAACGCAAGACCAATTTAAGGGTTATGAGTGTATTAATCCAAAAATATTTCGATATTGAATAACGATGTCAGTGCTTATCAGAACTTTGATATGGTATTTTGAGCTTATAAATTTGCACCGCCATACTAATGTGATGCATGTTTTCCCAATGTATTGGCTCATCGATCTTCTAATAGTTCAGTTAGTTGTCAGACAAGTTAAATCTTGACATTCTTTGGGCATGAACTGGTGTTGGGGGGAATTAAAAAGATTTCTTTGTTTTCGGAATCGTGCAATTATTTATCGCAAAAATGTCGTTTATCTCTTCAGTATCACTTCAATAGATGAATTTTCATTGCAATGTCCGGTGTCATTGAAATATAGGCAGGTATCTTGCATTTAAATACTTTTCTTCACGGTTTATTAAGCAGATAGAATGCTGATGCTTGATTTATTCCCATCAGTTTTTTAATCAACGAAAGAAGATGTCTTCGTTGATGTTATGCCTATGTATATAAGATATGAGTTTGGTATATTTCGTTAACTGTCGTATGCTTTGATTCTAATATTTCTGTTAGAAAATAAAAATCAAATAACTTATAGAAACAAACAATGCGAAAATATTTTTTTTTACCCGTAGAAACTTATTTCGAACGGTCAGGAATATTAGCAAGAGATATACTGAATAAATGAGGAGCATTTTGACGACTGATTTCGCGTTACTTGTATTGCTGAAGGGATAAATGGTGCTAAGATAGAATTATTGCATCTGATTTTCGGAACTTATAGTCAATATTGCGAAACCAGTCTGCATGTCTCAGAATAGGCGGGAAGCAAAAAAATGGAAATAAAAACGGATGCTAAATGAGTTTTGTAAAAGATTGCACACTGTCTTTTCAGCTTGTAATTGATAATTAAGGCCAGTTATGAGGTCTTCTGCATTTGACTCGTTTTCTAAAAGAAAAACGTGAAGAATATACTAATTTAAAGTCTTTCCGAAACCAGAAATATGGAATTTACAGACCATATACTGGCTAGATTACATGAGTCATTTAATATCTTGACAAATCAAGAGCTAGAAGTTTCACACCTTTAAAACAATGGAAAGCAATGTAATGAATTGCAAAAGCAGTGAATTATAAACAGTGAAGCAAAAAAAGGGAATAACTGATAAGATAATAAGTATAAATGAAGATGGCACTTAGGTGACTGTTTCTCGGACTCCATCCATATCAGGCATGGAATCAAAGCTAAAATCACGGTCGATATGTTGCCAGCACACCTGTTTGGGTTTTGATGCAATGGTTTCTTCTCTGCTCCACGGACTTTTTTCGTTACCATCAAGGACGACAGGAATAAAATTATACCCTAAACAACAAAGACAATTATTTCACACGAGTTGGAGTTATTAGTTAATCGGGCATGATGGATTAAGAATTGTAAATGACCAGAAAAGAAAGCAGAAAACTTGAGTTATCTTCCTAAAAACCCCGATGTCTTGAAAAGCAGCTCATTTTACCATTCGAATTTACGTATGAGTGCGTATAACTAGAAAGATTATGTTCTGAAGAACTGCTATCAACAATCGCATTTCTTGTTAAGTTGGGTTTCGATCTATCACGCCAACTCATTGTGTGTCTTCCCAATGAATCAAAATTGATCTGGAACATTTGCAAAAATTGATGGTTCTGTATTCATAAAAAGAATGATGAGGTCGTTCTCAATAAAGAAGGAAAGTGAGGAGAAAAGCTGGCAAGTTATATTTGTCGATTAATACCATGAAACATCAACTTACAGCCACAGCAGGTTGTGGTGATATAAAAACACTGATTTCCGACCCACGATATGATATGCTACGCTGGATACTGCCAGTACTTACATTTGATATGTTATCAGCAACATCCATAGTTGATTTCTGTGAATACCTGAATTTTGAGCTTAACATTTTCAGCAATATGAAAGGATAAAGAAGAAAGTATATGTGTAGCTCCCAATAGTATAAAATGAATATTAACAAGATCATACTATCTCACTGCATTCCTCTAACAACTATAATTGCAAACCTGCTGTTCATACTGGCACTATCAATTTGTGCTTTCGATAGCCATATCCATTCCTGTGAATTTTCATCCTTTCCACATGAGCTTGATGAACTTAATCGAGTAAGGATTGGCAGTACTAATTTTTCATAACCTTCATTGAATGGTTGTTTGGCCTTTGAACCTATCGCATGCACAACACCTATTATTGCTGCCAAAAAAATGATTAACCCCAGCAACACCTCCGAATTCCAACTGCCAGAATTTGTGATTGACTTCATTCTCGTGCTACTGTTATCTATAACGCTTTCTGAATAATATATTTGCATCAGGTTGCTGTCGTTACAATTAATTATATCCAATAATCATATTTATATTCAATAATACATTACACTAAGACCTCAAGAGCTGACTAGTGCGCCAAACTATACAACGTGCAGCCAGCATGTTTCAAAATTTGTTCCATTTAAAAGTTCTTTTTGCCAACGATGAGTAGGCTAAAGTCTTGTCAGTGACAGGTAGGCTAATTATTTATTGCTACTACTTTTCATTATTATTATTTACTATTATCATCAATTAATTAATTAATAACCAATTAATTTTACTACTTCTAGAGGTTCTCCATTCCTCTATATAATCCTAGAGGTCTTTAAATCAAAAACTTGAAAAAGAACAAAAATCGAATTTCATTAGATTCGGTGTTCACTTGTTGTAATTTCGTTTCTTAATCTTTCTATCTTTTAAAATCAACGAAGAAAAACTATAAATAGATTTTATATAAACAATATGAAACAGAATTTCTATCAAAAATAAAAAATAATAAATTTCTATCAATCAAAAATCCTTCATTACGTTTTTGTTAAATTATCAGAACGCACAAAAGCATTCAAGGCATTTTTAAAATGGATGGTTTAAAAAAATTTTTTTAAAGCTGTTTTTTGATAAAGTATTCTATTATGTAAAAGGTTCGCTTTATAAGAGCTCTGTAAGAAAAACTTTTTTTTTTTGCTAAACTTTTCAATAAAATAAGAAAAATGAGCATAATTAAGACATTTAGTGAAATTACGGAAGTTTATTTATAGATTAAACTAACAATTAGTAATAGACGATGTGCTTATAAGCTTCCTTTCATTGAATTCGATTTGTACGGGATATTCGACTTGAACGATAGCTTTTGAGTCTGGTTCACTGCATTGGGCTGGACCATGCAAGCTAACTGAGATTAGCACATTCTTGACATTCTGTAGAACGATTAGTTCGATGTTATGGCTATTTAGCCCATGATTCAATACAACGGCTTGTTCATCCGAACTCCATCCTCTCAATACGTAATGTTCTGATGGAATATCGGTTAATTCAAGCATCTGTTCGTCCGAGAAATATAATCGACACACCAGAGTGGCATGCTACAAAGATTTAGTTCCAAATGTCACTCTTACTAAACCTTTTTTTTTGTTTATTTCATATTAGAATTGATCAACTTTTTATGCTACAGCAGCGACCCTCCTTTCACGTTTAAAGTTTCGTCGTTCTTGTCAATGATCATAATCTGTGACACAGTTCTGCTTTTCATCACTTAGCATCTGCATGATTCACAGCAGCATTTCATTCTGTGACGACAAAATGAGAATGTCTTTTAACTTCTATATCTTCTATTCAATTAGTATGGTAGAAATGAAAGTTTCGGGAAATTTTTACCTGATACTTATAGGTCAAAGTATTTTGAACAAATGTTGAAATGACATATTCGTGAGCTCTTCTAGGGAATTGCTCAATATCCAAAGCAATATCAGCAACTCCTTCTACTGCAAGTCGTCGTACGGAGACAGCATCTTCCGTGACCTGCACATTTAACAGGTAGGCTTTTAAAATTGGAGGACAAAGATAAAGCATTAACAACTAAAAAAAAAAAAAATAATAGTAAGATATTATACCACGATTGGAGTACTGCCATAATCTATACTGGGAGTATTTGAGCGAACCGTTATTCTATAAAATTGCTTTCTTTTTCAAAAAGAAAAACAAAATTGACGCTAGTTAGTACAACAAAGCAATATATTATATTAAAGATATCACCAGAGGTGAATTCACTCCTGCATAACTTGTCTTCGATATTGACAGACCTGGCCGAACCGGGACGATGAGCTACAACAAAAATACGATCTTGTCGAGGTAATACAATAGCGACACCAATATTTGAACTGTGCACATGATTCATCGTAAGTGATGTCACATCGAATAAAATATCCCGATCACCAGATAGATAGATTCGTTCTCCAGTTTCTTTATCACCCACATAATAACTTGCAAGGATGCGAATCTGAAACATCACCTTTATGCACCCTAATCTCAGAATGCAAAATGCTCCGATTAAATTTCATTTATTACAAACAGCAGTAGGAGAAATATTCAACAATATTATTAGCACAAAGCCGTTAACTCTCGATAGCAAACTTAGATTAGTTTAATTTACTGAACTGGATCTGATTTCGTGCTACATAAGTAGTATTGAACTGGATCTGATTTCGTGCTACATAAGTAGTTTACATTTGAATGTATGACTAGACAATAAGGCTAGTAAGATACAATTATACCTCAGCTTGCTGGTACTTATTGATACAACCAAACTGTCGGGCTTCCCTTTTACGTTTGCTAGGAAGCCACTTCCATACTGCTATTTGCCAATCTGAAATGATAAGCTTAGAAATTTTGTAAAAGTGGTAGAAAAAAAAAAAAAAAAAACTAAGCTCAATATAACTGACTAGTCAGCGGAATCGACAGTTTTACTATGCTAGATGTTACCGTGAACTTGCCGTTTCATCACAGTCATTTGATCTAAACAGAATATAAATAAAAAAACCTTTGATGGCATTCAGCACAGGATCTGATATCCACACAGTTATTGGAAGTCGTGGATACCAAACTGTAACTTCGATTGAAGTGGCTAGTGTTTGAAAATGGACGTACACTTTAACTTTACTCATACCGCGTAATTCTGATCTATAATTAAAATAAGAAATGTTTACAGTTCATTCTACTTTTTAGAATCAGAAAGTCGTTAGCGATCAGAATCTGTGTTTTGATAACGTTCTATTAACACTTTGTTATAGTTTAAAAATTTGAATGAAAAGTAATACAAATTAAAGTTCAGCTCTAACCCTTAAACTTGTCAACATAGGAGATTTCAAAGGACAATAAGTACGGGTTTTATAGATATCAACTAAAAATTTTCAATATATCGCAAGAAATACTATTTTCACAGCATTATCAAGATTTATGAAATAAACAAACCCGTCAACGTAGATGAAACTACACGTTGGTGAAGCCTTTAAAACTCGTGATTCAGCACTCAAACAATATGAACTGCTAGTTACGTCATTTAGACTTCCACCTTCCGTAACGGAAAATATTCTCATTGGCAGTGCAGATTGCTTTCCCGACAGCACCGCTGTATTGATCAAATTTTCTCCCTGAATATCTCATTAAAAAACAAACTTGAAACAGATATTAAATGTTTCATCTTTATAATTACTTCAGTGGAAAGTGGATCAGAAAGTGTATTCTCAACAATCATTTACTTTGATCATTGGCAATAAAGCATATACGAAATCCGAAAATATGCGGAATTGTGTTGCTACTGTCTTTGTTGTCGTTTTACCCTGAAGAGTAAAATTATTGCTTATAAAATTGGAATTTTTGGAGAATTTATCGCAATCTGTTGAGTGTGAACATAGAAGGACTAAAACGTCCATTCATGAATTGAGCATTGATCAGCTAATATTAATGACTAACTAAATAATAAGTTGCGGTTATCTTCAGAAAGACTATAAATAGTTCTGCTAGCAGCCATACAGAATGTAATATAATTGTGATTTTACGTGGATCAGTGATGAAATCAGGTATTATTTTTACTTCGTTACGGAGTTTCTCCGAAGGAAATTGATAAGGTGCTGTACCGTGTAAGTGGAATTTTCAGAGACAAAATATTGCACTTCCCAGTGAACTCTGATCAAATTACTGTCGATAGCTTTCGACTGTGTTTCAGATTTTGTTCCTGTTGAGCCTTTTACTTTGATTAACATCATCATTATATACCCACTGTATCTATAAAGACTGAATCATTAGCAACGAATGAATATTTTATCAGGAAGGACAATAAAATGAAGCATAATTTTAAATTTTAAAATTAAGCTTTATCCAATTGGAAGGTAAAAGATGACCATACTTCCTTCTTCAGATGATTCTTCCTGTACTGAGCATTTTATTACAAAATTTATTTACATACAGTATAAGAAGATATTTGAATATCGAATAGAGACTAGCACCTCAAACAATATTACTCGTCATCAATATCGACATTATCACGAAAGATAAGTTTTTTCTTAGGTCAATTGAAATAAAAATTACTTGACATATATTGGAGAGTTAAGAAAAACAGCAAGAAAATGCTAACTGAAATGGGCTCACCTCTCTAAATTACCATCTAAGGATAAGGAGGAATGATATTGACAAGTGAAGGTCATATAAGCATCAGGATGAGCAGAATTTTCCACTTGTATTGTCCATAGTCTTGGATCTGCTGAAGTAACGCTTAGCAGTTTCAAATAATTGTTTAGCCAAATCCTGCAATGTTTTATATAGTAGGTAATTAATATTAATTATGAAACAATGATTTAATTTTTTAGATGTGAAAAACATGCACTAACTATGACATTAACATGAAAGGTTTTGTATCATGCAATATGAATGGTATGTTACAAATATTTTCAATTAAAAGAAAGTACCTAATTTGTATGGAAGAAAAGCGAGTTTCATTGTTACCGTAGTAATCGAAATGCAACAATAAAGTTGTAAGTGAACTTGTTGCAAAGGTGAAATTCGTTGGTGACAGAAGCTGCAAATGCCTAAAAATGTTTTGAATTTAAAATAATCCATTGGAAAATTCAAATTCCAATGATTGTTGATTCTGCACCCGAATAGTTTTGCTTTTAAATTCAAGTACAATACAAAAGCTGTTAAAAACATACAACGTAGGGAATTGTTTGTCAAGATCAAATGATCTATAATTCGGAGAAGGCGATAGCAGTGTTATTTTTGTGCGGTACAGTTCAGCGTGCAGAGCACCACATTCTTTATTAGTGGAATACAGAAGTGTGACGATCTGTTAATAACAATTAACAATGTATTGTAACTTAGAAAATTTAATCAAATTCCGGAATAGTTTTATGAGAACTAAGGCACTGCAACTGTAACTTTTCCAGTGAAGTATTTTTTGTATCGTCGCACTCACAATGCTATCTATCTGTTTAACCAATGAACTTATCAAATCATTGCAAGGTCAAGCTTATTCAGCTGTAATGTTTCCTCAATTTGTTCAAAACTGCCGAAGTATACGTTCTGCCATGCTTTAACTTTGCATCATCCAATACCAAACAAGTTACAATTTATGAAGTAAATTTTGTAAAAATTTCCTATCCAGTCAATAGCGAGACTCAAATGTCAGATAAGCAGAAAATGAATAAACCTGTTTATCACCGTTGTTAAGTGGGAACCATGAATAAGGTACAATGATTCGCAGAAGGCACGACTGGCGAGCAGAATCGAACGGAGATAAAATGCATGATACAGGGACTGTCACTGATGTTGATAGTGTCAGTTGTGCTGTGACACAAAGAGGTTGACGAATGTCAGATAATATTGAAACATCTGCTACTGCCACCAAATCCACAAATGGCTTTCCCTGAAGAAATATTGAATTATGAAACATTGCCACTAGTAATAATTCTAAAGCAGAAATTTTTACAAGGGAAATGACAGTTGAGGCAATTTTGATCATTACAGCACAATCCAGCCTTCTGATACTATCTAATGGAAGCACATAACGTCGTCCAGATTCTGTCCCAACGATAGAACTTGAACGAGATGGACAACCATCCTGCAACAGCAAGGAATTTTTTTAGTTTAGTATTTCATATTTTAGACTTTCTTTTTCAGAAATTGTTAAGATTTAAAACGGAAACGTAAGAAGTTTTCAAATGATTATAACAAACTTGCAAAAAAATTGTTGTTCTATTTGTACCATACTGTGGTGAGAATAACACAAACGCATTCATATCAGAAACCACTGAGAGGTAGATTCCTAAAGAAATGTTACTTACTTGTTAAAACAGAAACATTTCATACGTTATTTCTCTTTGAAATTACCCTCAACACAGTGTCACAATATCAATTAACATATCCTATAAATAGACCTTGAAATTTTCAAACGGAAGCCCAAAGCTTTTTTAGCAAATGGGAAAAATAATACACTTCAAAGACTTTTGGAATCCACCGGCTAAATCTGAACGAACTATAGGAGATGAAAAAATAATTTCCTGAGAAAAAAAACTACAGCCATATTGTATTCTAAGTTCTTATAGATTTATTTCCATCTCATTCCATTGTTTATTACAGAATTATTTTATTTTCAACTGACCAGAAATTCATTAAATTGAAAAAGATGAGAAGAAATACACAAATCACTATCGTTCAATGTCTTAATTAAAAAATATTTGGATCGTATTACTCATGTCTATTCCTTCTCAACTTTTTTTTTTCACTGAAATCGTTGTTTGTTTTCGAAGCTTTGATTTCTTTTCTCAGTCAAATTCCTCTGTCATGTTTTCAGCTATTTTTTACATTTCACCTGAGTTTCCCCAATGAGGGACAGTAATGCCTGCAACCATTTATAACTTAATCATTTATCTGCTTTATTTTAGCTTTTTAAGTATCATTTTCGAAACGTGTTCAATCTATATATAGTCATAGCTTCCCTCTAACTCCATATTCAAACAATACAGAGATAACAGCATGTTCAGAACTTTTTCGTACCTTTCTTGTTTCATATTTATTCCTTCCATTCAACTACTATTCCTCGTTGCTCGCACGACTAATTTTTATCCAAACTCTGAGTCAAATAACTTTGTCAAGAATTTCCAAAAATAGTAATTTATGACTTCATTTAATTAATCTCGGTTTTTATGAAGTCGCCGTCTCAGTTTATGTCCACGATGCAAGAAGGCCAATTTTGACCACTGATCTGAATCAGCAGGTATGCATTTTCTCCACAATATACTTCTTTCGAAGTAAATACTGTTGTTCATTTCAAGTCTTCGAACTTCTTTGCTTCTGTACCATTTGCGCCGTTCCTTTGAACGGTTTGCAAACCCTTGTTCAACTTCCTTGCAGCACAACAAAGGATTTATATCCTAACACTATTCCATTTTGTAATTCATCGCTTCTCCACCAAATACTCACTATTTTCAAGCATTTTCAAAGCTCCACCATTTCCTTCACTCATTCATTTCTACTGACTTATCACCTGAACTTAACAGTAATACAAATCCTCATACTTCTTCATTGATTTCAATCTTACCTCTTAATTAATTTCACCAGTTTCCCAGTTTGTATATCAATATTATCAATAGTTTTTCTTTTAATGTTTATTTTCAGCTCTTTTAAGTGACAAATAAGTGATAACTGAAATTTCGAAGAAGGTAATTGATTAGTATATAATTAAACGATAAGTTAGCCGTTTTTTGTTGACTCCCAGAAGAAGTTTAGTTCCTCGCATGCAGGATTATTTCGAAAAGTGTCATTTCTAGAGAAAATCGAAGTGAGAAAATGAAGAATGAAATGAAGGACCAACTAAAATATAGATGAAAGAAATTATCGTTATCATTATCATTATCACTAATGTGAACAATTACGAATGAAAATTTTTTAACGCTTATGCTAAATTCATAAGCTTATAAAATCACCAGTCGCTGCCTTCTCAAAATTTGCTTTGAGCATCCGCGCCTTGCACTATTATTAATCGTTTTCACTCGTTCGTCATAATAGCAAGTCGGACACATACTGCCGAAAACCCACTGAATGTCCTTTTCACCTCATGTTGGACAATTTTAGGAAAATGTTTTTATTTCGTTCGCACTTCTTTCTATATATTCTAAGCAGTTCGAGAGAGAAGTGTTTATTTACTTAGAAAAATAAATGAAATGTTGGAAAATAAATTAATTCGAAGTGATGGAACAAAGTTGAGATTATTCCTAAAAACAACAATATGGGTTTAAAGAAGTACTTTTTCTGTGCTGAAATCTATTTCTGAGACAAATTTCAAAAATCTTTCCTTTTTCAATGCAAACTCCGGCTTCTGGAGTTGTCCCGCTATAAAGAAATCAAAAACTGATGGATTTATTACCTTCACTTTTTATGTCAGTAACTACATCAGTTAGATATGAAAAGATATAATTTAGAATATGACGTTTTTTTTAAAGTTAGAATGACTTCCGACAGTACTCATATTTCAACAGTTTGTTACTTCTTGCTTGTTGCCAGTAACTGATTAGGTGATAATCAATACACAAGTAGATTGGGACTGATTATCCTAATTTTGATAAGTCGTTAAAACACAGAAACTTACTCTGAGATTTGATATTATTTCACTAGAATCCAATGACTCATTTTAGATATTTGCATGGAAATACTTTAAATATGGAGTTTGAGAACCGTGTCAAATAATCAAACCAGAAGTGAACAGGAGACATATACAAATTTATGTTAAACTGATTTAATATTTCAGTTATAAAATAAAGGAAAAGGAAGAATTATATCTACTGACTAACTACGTATTGCAAAGGATGTGCCAATAAACGATCCAGATGAAATGGCAAGGTGAGCCAGACTACCCCTTTTATTTGTAGGTACTGCTCGAAAGATTGATAGATCTGAGCCTGCCTAAAATTCTGATCTTTCTAAAAAAGACGTTCCTATTTTCCATTATACTATGAATAAACAATGATTTTAAATGACTTTTAATTTTAATCATGACTTTGGATAAACTTTAAATATAACTTTAAATAAAGACTTGTTCTCGCTATTCCAAACTAAACATAAAAATTAGTATGTAAAAGTACGAACCTGTAACAGTCGAACAGTACTTCAGCAGTAAAAGCAGTGAGTACGAAGTGCTAAGGAAGAAGGACAGCGGTAGCATAACTTTCTTCTAGAAAGAAACCGTCAAGTGTTCAGATTGCTCAGTAGGTCTTGCAAGGGCCAGTCCAGTAAGTAGCTCTGAAACAGAGTGTACACTCTTCTCCAAAAATCGATCTACATTCTGGCTTGCATGTAGCAACCAACATCTTCCGCTGTTGCGCAATCTGCATTTCTGGTATAATTTCGAAAAAGATATTCAAAATAAACTCCTGTGAGTGAAATATGTATCTGTGAATTTGTTTATCTTTCCACGGACATATTCGTCGCGCTAACGTTTTCAAATTTGAGGGTACGAATTGCGCCTTCTTCTGCATGCTTTTAGAGGACTTCCAAGGACAGATATTGATTTCGAAGCATGAAAAGGAAGATTTGTTGCAGATCTTTGATTAGAGCAGAGATCACGAATAAGCCTCGTCACGAGGCCATTTCCAATCAACAAAAATAAATCTTCAGTATGCAAATAACTTGTCAGCAAAGAGAACGAAATAACTCTTCTGAACATCGACAAGAACGAAAGAATGGAGTTCTGGCATTCTAATAATTCATTCATTTGATGAAGCTCAATTTGGTGACATTTAAAAAGATGAGATCAGCTGTATTCAACTTTTCAATTACGAAACTGAACACGCAAAAAAAAAAAAAAAAAAAAAAACGTTATGAATAGCTAAATGATACAAAAATGATTGATTATTCGATCCTCTTAAATGATTTTAATAATTTACATCGTATTTTCGTTGCTACTTTCTTAAATTAAAGTTGTAAGAATCTGCAGCAAACATTTCATTTTTTGCCAACTTCGACATTGCCAGTACAAATGTATAATTTTCAAAAGAAAATTTAAAATCAAAAGATCAAAATTTTTTGTTTGGTAGGATGAGAAATGATGTATCGTACAGACCACTTCAATGAATCACCACGACAATGCAGAGAAATCGTCAAACGAAAATGATTGTCACATGATATTAGACATCTCACACTTGAGCTAATCCCACATCAGAGAAAGTTTGAGCACGGTAAGGAAGAGCAGTTCCACGGATTTTCTTTAAGGTTGAACAGAAGACAGTTTAAACTCGGTCGTCCTTTTTTTTTTCATGCTACTGGTAGTTTCAATTAACTATTCAACTTCGACAGTCCTCCCAACAGCAGGTAATGTGAGGCTGTAAGATAACAATAAAAATATTCACCAAAGAAATCTTCCACTGCCCACACCTCTCACCATTCATATTACTTTCATGTTCAGTGAATGATTCCTCAAAATAAAATTGTCACAATAACTTCCTGTTGCTATTCCTGTAAATTTCTTTCTCCAGCACTTTACCATTGGCTGACTTCATAAAGTGGCTTTTTTTTCGCCATAACTCGAAAATTTGAAGGACAAAATTACACAGACTTTTCATATTTTAACAGTAAAAAACCTCATCATTCAAATTTACATTTAACCATAATGAGAAATGGAAAATAAACAAGATACGAATATTTTGGAAATTTAATGATGCAATGGCTATCGATTTAAATATATATATATACGTCAAAGTCGAAGTGACAAGAGAGAAGCATAACATTAATAAACACAATAAATTTAATGAAACAAAGAAATATTAATCAAGCTGCACGCTTACAGTGAGTTATTGTTCCAACTGAATTAGGAATAGCTATGTTCGGCTTCTATTAGCCAACCAGTAATGTTGAGAAAAACGCATTGCATTGACAAATCACAAGGATAACATCCTAGAAAAACTCGTCTGTGCCACGAATTTATTTCGCCCTGCTCATTAAAAAAATTTGAACTTCTTTTCCTTTTATTTCTGTTTCAAGTCAATTCTTTCCAATGATGGAAAAAATTGTAATTTCTCGCGAAAAAGAAATTTATATAAGGAAAAGGACTTATATTATTTTAAAAAGACCCTAATAATTAGTTAACAATAGCATACACGAATAAACATGTGTATAAATATATCTATGCACACGAGCCTCTTCAAGAAAAAACTGCAACAAGTTCAAATAAGTGATAATAATTCGACTGTCACAGTGAATCCTCTCATTCAGAAGTCCAAAAGACAGCAAAAAGTTGGTAACAATTTCCATTATAACTAACAAAAAAAACTAACTACAAGGATGTCAGAGGATTGATTCTGTTTCTGTTTCTGGTCAACCCAATCTCTTTCTGCGGTAAAAAAAAAAACAGTAAAATCCATCTCTTTTAGTTCAGTTCCAAAATCCACTGCACTGCTTACCATGCTCGTCATTCACTCAGAGTATTTGGTATTCGAAAACAAACAAAAAAGCCTACAAAGAAAGAGCATTACTCCAAAGACCAGGCAAAGCTTTGCGGATCGACAGAATACACTGATCGTTCTTCAACTTATAATCGACACTTAATATTTTACTGGGGCATTTTCGCATCTCAAAAAATCGTTTTTCCAAAACTTTCTTCATTGGCGGCTTTGTCTTCTTATTTAATTTGAACACCTCCAACAATACACTGAAACCTCTGTAAAAAAGAGAAAGTCAAAAAATTTATTCCCAGCATATCCGAAACAAAAAATCAGATGTTCTAAAAACCTATCAGTAACTTTCAATGCTCTTGAAAATGACTATGGCAAAGCAGTGAAAATATATCCAGCCATCATTGTTCCCTGCAATTCCTATCATTCATAGCTACACAATAGGGACTTTGCACAGCAATTTTCGTATTTTTCAGTGCCTCATATACTAATTAAAAATTTAATTAGATTCTAATCCTCACATTCAAAGTTTTAGGACTCCGATGAATTTTGCATCGTTCTTTCCAGCATATGCTTCTGTAATAACCTCTAATAAAGGGTTCTAAAATAGTGTCCTTATGAATAGATAGCAATTCCTAAATTTGAATAGTCCCAAATACCTTACTCTTCGTTGTATTTAAGATGCACATCTGTATTTGCAGCGCGAATTATCGTTTTCTCCTTGATTCCCATTACTACTAAATGTATCTTCAGGACAGTCATGCTATCGTCATATTTCACTGAAAGCATGAAAACACAAACTGTCTAAAAAATAAAATATTTACTAAAAAAGCAAATACCAAATTTAATCAGAAGCTCCTCAGAAAAACAAATATTATTTCGATATCTGCAATTTTAGTTCCAAGAGGAACGAATTAATTTTAACCAAAAGAACATACAAACCTCCAACAGGTCCAGGTAAAGATTTGACATCTTCGCTCCAAGTAAACATGATTTGATGATAATTACATTAGAAAATCGCCAATTATTGGAAGAAACAACAATGAAAACGCATTTCTACAAAACAACTGTGCAAATCCATTTCAGTGAATCGTTTGTTTATGCTCGACTTTCATTTTAACTCTTCAATAAACTACTGAAGGTATTCGACAAATAGCAAACATGTCTCTCCATGAAAACGACAACCTCATTACAAATTTAATAGATGAGTCGGATAAGTTGCCGTTTCAACAAGGACTAAAGAAACCGTCACCATGTGGAGTAATTTCGTACCTAATGAACATTTAGCACAAATTTTCTGACATTAGCTTTCACTTAATTCTGTAAATTGCAATTATCTCTTTTTCAAAAATTTCAAGTAAAGCTAATTAAATTTTGAGCTAAGTTTGAGTATAATTGTAAAATCTTGCACATACGAAGTTCCAGAACTATTTAACTTATTGACAAAGCGCACATGTCACTGTTACATAAAGTAAATGAAGGCACAAAAGGGATACGTAAAACGAAACTTTCTAATCCATTTTCGAATGGGTAAAAAATAATGTTTAGCACAAACAAGGATAAAAGAGGTCTCATATATGGATTGTTGCATAATTTGAATGGAAACTTTTCAAATATAGTCAAAACAGATAACGGCAGAAAAAAATAATTTCAGTATAGAAGGAAGTATATCTGAATAATAAAAAAATAATTTGAATATGTATGAGAGAATATGTTTTGTCTAACATGTCTCGACAATAAGCTTTTTACAAAAATTTTAAAGTTAAAAACCACTGTTTTATTTGTTATTTAAAACTACCTCATCTTGTCTAACACCTTTGCTTCCATTTAGAGAACAGAGCAGTTTCAAAAAAAAAAAAAAAAACAAGAAAACTGAAGAGGAAATCTTACCTGTTCCAGCCATATTTTTTTGATCGAAAATGATACAGTTACACACAGTACAGAAGGAGAAAGAGTTTCAATATTCCTATTGAGGAATATTGCAAAAGTGATTGAATTCCAAATGATAAGAGGTGAGAAAATTACTTTTGGTAGAAAATATTTACCAGTGAAAGAAAACACTGAAATATATGAAGGAGAGAGTATGAGATGAGACAGTAAGTTCAGGAAGTTTGAACAATAACATTTAGAATATTTTTTGGAAATAGTGCAGAATACTTGATAGCAACATTTCCGGAAGTATATGACAGAAACACTGCACACTCTAATAGCTGAAAAAAGTAATCGATAATGGACAAATAACGTGAAGTTAATTTAGCCACTTTCTACGCTATTCTCAATTAACATATCAATCACACCCAAGCAGATTCGATCGAATTCTACCAAATTATTATCACGGATAAACAGAAGATAACAGGAGGAAGGGTTCCCAAGGTCACAAAGCATACCTCAAGAAACACAAGGTACCACACTACCTCACTTGCTTCCTCTCCTCAATATGTACTATCTCAAGGGAGAGAGACTGAAGCAGACACTGACGGGCAGTCACACGGCCCGTTTTATCTTGTCCCATTTGTCAAGTAATTGGGATTCATTCTATAAGAAGGTAGAGAAGAGGAAGGGGAGGGGGTCATACTAGCCTCGTGGTATCATCAGATGTTGTAAAACAGGCATGTTACATTTGCAGATGTCATCGAGACATAAGCTTGACATAGAAGATGGAGATAGGAAGCGAGAACGAGATCGACGGAAAAGGTCAGCTCTTACTTTCTCTATTTTCACTTTCATATACTCTTTGTGATGAACAATATCCATCGTTGTGGAAGGGAAGAAAACGTGAAACTTTCGTATACCTCTGTTAATTAGACAGGAAATAGCTTATAAATTCAAATTATGACAGTTTATTTTCCATTGTGGCATTTCTGGGCAGGTAATAGTAAAAATTTCATTTGTCAGTCATTTTATGAATTTTTGTTTTATTTTCCTAAGTGGTTGAAAAATATGGTAATTAATTGTTTGCTTTATGGTGTTAATTGTTAAAGTGTTCTTGGTGATTTATTTGTTACATATTATTTTGGGAACATTTTGTCTTATCCAAAAATGGACAAATTTATTTCCATTTTAGTCGCTCTAAGTCGCGCTCTCCGCGAAGAAATCGAAGTAGAAGTAGAGATCGAGGATGGGAACGAAGTCGATCACCTAATGAAAAACCGCGCCGATCAGCAGTAAATTTTTTTATATCTTTTTGATCTATTTGCTCCATTTCCAATTTCAAGCCAGGACCAGTACCTAATTTTAAAATAAATTCTCTCTCCCTTTTCAGGTAGAAATTAATCCTTTCAGTGGTCAGCCCTACACACAGCGGTATTTTGAGATTTTCAAGAAGCGAACGACGCTTCCAGTTTGGGAGTACAAAGACAAATTTCTAGAAGTGCTTGACAAAAATCAGGTTTGCTTTCTCATCGGCCTCATGTTAGTTATTATTATAAAAAAAAAAAAAAAAAATGTATTAAAAATTGTCCTCTGTCTCTTTGACTGTTCTTTCATTTAAACGGCAATGTCGGCATTGCCAACGTCAGGTATAAAGTGTATACAAAATACTGCTAAGTTATATTTGAGAAATATCAGTCATGGTTATTCTCTGTTAGCTTTAGATAGTCAACTTATGTAAGCAGTGTGCAGCAACAGAATTTCTATTTGCAGTGTCTTACCTTAGTGGGTGAAACCGGATCAGGAAAAACGACGCAGATACCACAGTGGTGCTTGGAATATTGTAAGGCGCGTACACTTCCAGGACATCGCCGTCTGGTTGCTTGCACTCAGCCTCGTAGAGTGGCGGCTATGAGTGTAGCAACACGTGTCGCCGAAGAAATGGATGTACAAGTAAATATTCGTGACCTTGTTTAATAGAAAAGAGATTGGAATCTCTCATTAAGCTCTTTAATTGCTTTCCGCTGCTACTAAAAAAAAAAAAAAATAAATTATTTTAATGGAGATGGAGATTCTTTCATCTGTGATTTTGAAAAGATCATTCAGTCTGTCATTTCGACCAGGAATTGTGTATACTGCAAATAAAATGCTATGAATAACTGAATATTTGCAAAAGTGAGAAGAATGTAGAAGAAATCAGCCCAAAATTAAAAATATAAGTGGGACAAATGAACGACCATAGAAATTACACTTTTTCTTATTTTAGCTAGGTGCTGAAGTAGGCTATTCAATACGTTTCGAAGACTGTGTCAGCGAGCGGACAATTTTGAAATACTGTACTGATGGTATGCTTCTGCGAGAAGCCATGAATAGTCCACTACTGGACAGTTATGGGGTTATAATATTGGACGAGGCTCATGAGCGTACTTTAGCAACTGATATTCTTATGGGCTTGATTAAGGTTTGCTCTCTTTACATTATTTTCTTTTACTAGATTTATTCCGAAGTTCGACATTGCTTATTTGCATTTTTTAAGGAAATTGTTCGACAGCGGAAGGATATTAAAATAGTTGTGATGAGCGCAACATTGGATTCAGGGAAATTCCAAAATTATTTCGAGAATTGTCCACTAATGTCAGTTCCTGGACGTACATATCCGGTCGAAATATTTGTAAGTTTCTAATCAAAATTGAAAAACTTGGATCTTTTTAAAAGGCATACTTTGAATAATCACAATACTTTTTCAGTACACACCGGAACCAGAAAAAGATTATCTGGAAGCTGCAATCAGAACAGTTGTCCAGATTCATGTATGTGAGGAAGTGGAGGGAGATATATTGTTGTTTTTAACAGGGCAAGAGGTAGCTTTTTATATGATTTAAATATAACAAAACATTTTTAGCATTTAAACGGGTTGGAAAAAAGTATTGCTACTAGATATCCGTTAAAGGCTAAATGTCCAAACTATTAACTTATTGCGGTATTGATAGTCAGTGCAATGTTTTATAAAATTTTCATTTGCATAAATCAGTCATGTTACAGGAAATAGAAGAAGCTTGTAAGCGAATCAAGCGTGAAATTGATAATTTGGGACCTGAGATTGGTGAATTAAAATGCATACCGCTTTATTCTACGTTACCTCCGAGTTTACAACAAAGAATTTTCGAACCTTCACCACCAAAACGAACTAATGGAGCTATTGGTGGGTGCAGAAGTTTTAGGGATTTTATTTGTGCCTTGCCATACCTTGGTATAATTTTCTCTCTGTCATAGTTGGCTAGAGGATTTTTCCTGATGCAGTTGTGATCCTAAGAGTGCAAAAGTATGGCAAGACACACATAGTTTAGGTGCCTCAATTTGCTGTTATACTTTTAAGACTCATAGTTGACGGCGCCTAGCATAAATTGCAGGTCGCAAATGTGTCGTCTCAACGAATATTGCCGAGACGTCACTTACAATTGATGGCGTTGTTTTCGTGATTGACCCAGGATTTTCGAAGCAGAAGGTTTGTACAAGAAGACTGCTGACGAAAGACGGTTGCTGCTCCGTATTAACGGCTAGCAGCGTAATCTCATTATGTTGGCACATAATATGATGGTGATATCGTTGTTGTCACTATCGGTGCTGTCGCATTATATCATAAATAGTTGTAGTGAAATGTTTAGGTATATAATCCAAGAATCCGTGTCGAATCGTTGCTTGTATGTCCGATATCGAAAGCTTCTGCTATGCAACGTGCTGGCCGCGCGGGACGTACAAAACCTGGCAAATGTTTCCGATTGTATACGGAAAAAGCATATAAAAACGAGATGACTGATCAAACATATCCCGAAATTTTGAGGTTATCTTTGTTGCAATGCGATTTTTTCCTCAAGGGTATTAATATATGAATTTTTCTCTGTTATATTATTGATATGCAATAAATGAAGTTTTTCTTTTTGCTTTCAGATCAAATTTGGGCACAGTAGTGTTGCAGTTGAAGAAGTTAGGAGTCGAGGATCTTGTTCATTTTGATTTTATGGATCCTCCGGCTCCTGAAACTCTAATGCGTGCGCTAGAAATGCTGAATTATTTAGCTGCTATTGATGACAATGGCGAATTGACTCAGCTGGGTTCTTTGAT